TATACTCTTTGTGCCTTGAAGTACGTCCCGAGAGCTGCTGGCTAACTGACTAGGTAATCGATATGTTCACATGCTGCTCTTATTATTTATATTGCATATTGTTTATTGCTAGTCTATGGAACCACCATTAGCACGTCCCTGCAAAATATATATTCCCAAGTTACCTCTGCGATCAGTCGTCCCGAGAGTTTTCGAGATTTATAAATTAATTCTCGAATCGAGGATCGAAACAATCTCAGCTTCCACTTTGGCAATAAACAAACGTTGAATCGTGGTGACACGATTTCTAAATTATTTATGTCTAGGAACCTGGAGCAGCGCAAGCCGCAAGAGCCCACCCAGACCGAAACCCAGAGGACCCGAAGGCGAAGGTAATTCACGAAACAGCAGAGAAAAATCCACAGGAATAATCATTATGTTACTTTAATCACACATAGTCGTCTAATGTACAATTAGGAAATTGCTTCGACTGTTTCTTTGGTATCGTTGATCCACTGAACTGATTCACGGTGATCGCTGCTGCCACGCTCTAGTTTTACCATACACCTATATACACGTAAACCTGATACCTGTATTCGATCTAATTAATCGACATGACGAATCGTGATCGTCGCACCTCGTCATTCACGATGAAGGATCGTCGAGCTAAAATTATCTTTCTCGACAGCTGCGCGTCTAATATTTTTCTCGTAATACTAGTTTACGATCTACTAACAATCGTCTCCTCTTCGTGTTAAACGTTTACTCTTTCTTTTTTTTCTCTCTCCCATTTTCTCTCCCGTTTTATCCTCTCTTGGTCCGTGAATGAGTTTCTTCGCGCGATTGGCATGTCTGAGTCCCATAAAACTCACTGCGATACCACTCGGTTTATGTATAGTCGTATAGTGTATACAGCTAATGTTTACTTCGTTTAATTATTACTGTTTCATATAAATACTTAAAAGTTTACGCTATCATAGATGCCTCTTTCGTAGGAGATTGCCGGTTCGTCCACTGCGCAAGAAGGAAATAAATTATTTCGTGCGACTATCTATCGCGTATCGTGTTCATGGCGGAACGGAACGAAGCATCCCTCCATTTGAACACGCGCGGATAAGGTTAATTTACAGAATAGCAGAAAGAAGATATAGCTACCAAGTGTTCGATGTATGTATGTACACCTTGTGGGGCGCATGCGCGCCCGTCGGATCGTTCTTACCGGCTGTCACCTCGACGACCTAACCTCTAAACTCCGAAGTCGGATCGAGCGGGCTTATGAATATAAATTGGGGCTCCATTGTTGGCACTTGAGAGATTGTATCAGCTGCAAAACTGTATTGTTCGTTGATGGACGAAATGATTGTTGTTTCAAGTCGCGAGTCGTGTTACGTAAGTAACGGAGATAATTTTTGGCGAGAAATTTGCGGAAAATACGAAGTGATTCGTGCGAAGTAAAGCGAAAGAATCGTTTCGTTACTGTAATGGTTAGTATCACTTGGCTGATAATTTCCCCTAAAATCTAATAAATGCATATAACAAAGTTGCGTTTAAAGCACTTCTCGTTGGCATATTCGATATCGAACATTTGAGCATGCGTCGTGAGGAATGGTTGTATTGCAGTGACGGCTTAAAGATGTAAAGAACTCTAAATTGAAGCAAGAAATTTTGTACGAGATATTTTAAATGCTATACCTCGGAAATCCATCTAAAAAGGTAATCTTCCACGTTACTTCGCACGAATCGCTTTAAGCAGTTTTTGTAAAAAGAAAATGCAAGAAAAATCTTACGAAAGTACAAATCTACGAAAGGACATTTTGGTACGCTTTTTCGTCAAAGATACTTCGTCAAAATGTTCGAAACACGTAGTAGTACGTTTTACCAGTAAATGTGAAAACTTGGTCGAAAGAGACACGTTCTATCGTTCTATATAAATAATGCAACTACCAGCTACACAGCGTCGAAATTTTCGCGTACTAATATTGCACTTGTCTAACGTAGTACTACGTCTTCGTCGGCTAGCGATTTCTCGCGATTTCGTATCGTGGCACTACGAAACACACGTTCGTTGATATTCTCGTTACCGAATAATAGTGCCATGATCGGAACACGTGTATTTCCCTCTTTCATAGCATCATCGGTTCACCGTGTTTCTTCGATCACATAACCAAATCGATCGTTCCTCCATTCGACTCACTTTTCATTTAGATCGAACAACACGCTCTTCAAAGATCCGATGCCATTACGAGCCACCAAAGCCAACACCGAATAACCCCTCTGACCGATTCTACATCGATCTTCCTCTAACCATGCTTCTCGAATTTTCTCACGACACTCTCGAATTTACTGACACACACATCGAGAAAGCATGCTCTCTACTTCGAACTACTACGGTTCTACGATAGCTGCGCTACAAGTGGCGAGTATACGAACTCGCGTGCGGAGTACGCGTCTGGCCGTACTCCGCGAAATGACCGTATCACGCGGTTCGCGGGCCCCGTTCATTTCTGTCGCGGTACCTTAACGCTTAATCCTGTATGTATATACGAATAGAGCTATCTACTATTTTAAACGTGATAAATACAAAGTGTGCGTATAGCCACGTAATAATGGTGGTGTATCATTTGGCAGTTTTTCGTGTTTCACTCATCTGTCACAGTACATCTGCTGCTCGTATCACTCGCAAGGTGGACACCACCCTGCTCGTTTCCTAGCTTAATATCGTGATCAATATCGCCGTGTTCTCGCTTCATTAATACCGCGCGTGCTTTATGTACATGCATGCAATCTTTGGTTTCGCTACGAGTAGATCTGCGCGTCGT